CTTTTGAATGTATACATCTTCTACAGACCCATTGTATATGTTTTTACTTTTTTCAAGTTTGGCTTTTGTGCTTAGAAATGTTGCTGCAGGGGTTGGTGAGAAGGTGCTCATACCTAAGCCTGATACTTGTGATACTTGGAGTTCAATCCCTGGAGTCTACATGGTGAAAGGAAAGCACTGTCTCCCAAAAGCTGTGTTCTGACCTCCAACAACAATGGCACATGCACCCATGTACACACACACACACACACACACACACACACACACACACACATATATATATATACACAAATATACACATGCACACAGAGACAATGACAAATATAACTATAAGTTTTCAGAAGAAGTACTGCTTCCTTACTGCACTGATATAAAATATTTACCTGTATTTTCCTGTATTGCATTGATTTCATTTTTATCTACCTCCACCACCATTCTTTTTCACATAAATCAAACTCTGTTTACTGTGCTATTTAAAAACTGAGGATCAGAGACCCATGCTTGTTTTTTTAAACTAACCCAAAGAACGAATGTCAGAGAGAGAGGAACTGAGCTTCACTTGAACGTGTCAAATAAACATGAGGACATGCGCTAAGGAACATATATTAAAGGATAGAAAGTATTATTGCCGTACAACCGCATGAAGATCGCAATGCCATGCTTACAGAGCGATTTCTAATATTCTTTGAGCTGAAAAGAATAAGTCATTACAGAGACACAGTAGCTACCTGAGGTCTAGCTGAAGCTTGAGGGGGAGGTGTGCTGGGTGATCCATTCAGTTCTCTGGGCTCACATTCTTCACTTCTCTAGACAAGCCATTTTCCTCCTATGTCTGTAAGGTAGATGTCTATAAGGTACATTAAGTACCTATCAGACCAAATTGTTGAGATCCATGCACACCTGGGGAAAGAGCCACCAAGCTGTGGGCTTCCTCTGCCCTGGGGTGGATACCGCAGTTCAGAGCAGAAGGTAAAGAAACTAAGAGCTGAATTCACACTGTCTTCCTGGAGTTAGGAAACAGTTATCTCTGCCCAGGATGGAACATGGCTGTTAAAGTGTTTGCCTGAGTGTGTTTTAACAAAGGGCAGAAATGTGTTCTTTAGCCACTGGGATGTCTTAACACATTTCAAATGATTACTCACTGTTCTATTTTAGCATCACTTCAAGTAGTGCTGAGGGCACTGCTGTGCTGAGAGCACTCATGAAAAGGAGTGTCTCTCATGAGCCTAGAGCTTAAAAACAAGCAATCTAAACTAATCATGATGATATTTAAATCATAGACTATAGGTAACTACCAGTCAGAGTGCACTCTGCCTGTTTTCTGCTGGTCATTTCTAAGTCTACTAGAAGCTAGAGAAACAGAAATGTGTCCTGAAAACACTACTAGGCACTTGAGGTTGAGTAGAAAATAAGAGAATATAGTCTCCACCATCCTAGTTAATTAAGTCATCAGCAAAGAAATGGGTGATCAATCATTTCAGACATTAAAGAAATTAATGCTTTAAAGAAATTAAATGCTTGAAGGCAAAACAAGAGTGACCCAGAGTGAGGATAACTTTAACTAGATGCTCACAGGTGTTCTTCATAGATTGATGTTTTAGCAGACAATTAACTGGTGAGAAGCCAGCTCCAGGAACATTTCATGGAGAGTTTCCAGGCAGAGGAATCAGCATCCGATTAAATGGAAAAGAACTTTGAAGCTATGACTCTAAGAAGGCCATTGTTGACATAATGGAGTCAGTGGGAAATGCAGAACACCAAGTCCGAGAGAGAGAGAGAGAGAGAGAGAGAGAGAGAGAGAGAGAGAAGAAAGGAGGTCTTACAGGCAGGTGGACACAGGCACCACCTGCCATCAAAAGCAGGTATTGAATAGCTTTAACAGAGGACTGGAGTGGCAATTGGCCAATTACAGCCCCATGCTATTTACCACCAGAATGGGAATACTCAAGCAGCAGTGCCAGGCAGTCTAAAGGCCTGGATATTGGACTTGGCAGAGTGGATTAGCAGAGGAGATGAACAATGATCACACAGAATGTGTATCTGCAACTTATGTTACACACACGCACACCTGCTAAGATTCTTCTTTCAACAGCCTGGAAACTCAGTGTCTGGTTTTCATAAAGGATGCTGTTCCTTTTTATAAGTTCATTTTAAATATGTAACTTACAAATGATGGCAAATTTAACATAGAACCTGGCTTCTCTTAAATGTCTCCTATTCATGCAACTATGAGAAGATAAAGTTGCATTTTATCTGGAATGTAATGAATTCTTTCATCATTTGTTCCTATTAAAGTTTTTGACTGGAATTCTGTAACCCAGACAGTGAATAAGCTCAAAATTCTTTGTGTAACATTTGTCTAAGCACTTCTACATGATTTGAAAAGGCGTTTTACATATTCTCTCTCTCTCTCTCTCTCTCTCTCTCTCTCTCTCCCCCTCTCTCTTTCTCTGTCTCTGTTTCCTCTCTGTACAAGCGTGTGTGTGGAAGTGCATTCAAGTGTGTGTATGCAAGTGTGTGTGCATGTGTGTGAATGTAGCTGAGCAATTGCTACACTTCTTTAGCCAGCTATGGAGACAGGAGAGAGCATTCCACAGCTTTCACTTATGGCTCTAGCTTCACTAAAAGGTGTCTCTATCCCAGAACCTGCCATGTGTCTCACTGAGATTGGGTTACATATAACCCATTTGTTATTTATAAATACTTGACAATGAGGAAATTGTGCTGGAAAATCCTAAAACTATTTCAGTTCTCAGATTTTTAAAAAAAAAGGCTTTCTGGATGCCATATTGTTCCCTAATCCATCACTTGATTTTGTTGTCTTCTTTGTGTGGAAAGTTCCCAAATCTGTGTCTCAAGTTCAAGTCTCGGTCACAAGATCCATTGTCTAGAGGAAATGTCCTCTGACTACTTTTACATGTATACATGTAAGTATCTCAAGCACATCATGTGCAGCATGACTCATTAACAGTCTGTAGGAACTAACCTACTTTACATATAAGAATCTGATCAAAAGTGTTCTTTTCTTCATGAAAATTTTCTCATCCCATCTCCTCTTCAGGCACAGTCCACCACCACGTAACACGAGCAGAGTGGTATTGAAGAACTGAAATGAATTTAATGGTTTCCAACTCCTTAAGGGAAGAGATGGTGTCTTAGTCACTCTCAATTCAGCCTCACTTTAGAGACTCTGCTATGACACAGTAGGTTAACACATTAAGAAACATTGCAGGAACAGCTGAAATGAAAAGTGTATGATCTACAAATTGCTCAGGGCATCACTGTGGTTTGGATATGGCTTGAGTGTGAGCACAAGAGCTAGTGTTTGGGCAGCTTGCTTTCTGGGCCAATGTTAAGGCCACCTAGGGATTACTTACCGTAGTTCTCCAGGCTCCAGACTTCCCGTTTTAAGCTGTAACCTCTCCATCTCACACAGGTTATCACTGTGTTGTTGCCTGGCCTTAGGCCCTTGCCAGAGGCCTAATAAACAAGGCTTCCCAATTTGGGACTTTTCAGTATCCAAAACTTTGAGCTAAATAACTCTTGTTTCTTTGTTAAGGACTCAGTTTGGGGTAGTGGCTATAGTGATGAAAACCAAGCTCACAAACCTGGAAGTGCGTTCTCCCACAAAACCCCCTGCCTCTCTCTCTCTCTACATGTTAGTCTGCTTCCAAGAGGTTTCTATAAACCCCAACTTTCACTTGTTTTGTATATATTGTTCTACTATAGGTCCTTTCTGTTCCCAGTATGCACAGGTTTGCTGTTTCTTTCTTATTCACTGATGTTGGATTAGATTAATGATCAATAGCCAGTTGGTTTCTCCTATCTCATGTATAATTCAGTTCTTTCTAGGTGAACAGCTGACATTTCCTTTAAGGTCAACATTTATACATAAACTTATGTTATCATGACCAATCAAAAGATGTGCTTTCAGACCCTCATGTTGCAAATGAAATTAGACCTGATTCTCAACTCTCATTCAGTAACCAGAGTGAGGAAAGTAAGTTTTCAGACCTGAATCACTGAATGAGTCTTAGTATCCTTGCAAAATGCCTCACATGCAACTCAGACTGGAAGAAATTACCAGGATGATTTATTTTAGCGGATACAAGAAGCTTCCTGTGACATAGGGGTCAGCTTACTTTTCCTTCTCAGTGTGTGTGTGTGTGTGTGTATGTGTGTATGTGTGTGTGTATCTGTGTCTGTGTGTTTTTAATTTACTAGTGCTGGAGTAATTAATGTAAATTAATGTTTGCGACTGCATGCAAACAGAAGATAAGTTTGCCTTTCGGGAGAATTCTTTCTGTAATGGGAACTGCTATCACAAATCCTTTCAGGCTTGCCGGAGATAACTTCCTTAGGCCGTCTTTGTAGGGTCTGCCTGTTGTCAGTCCCCAGTCATGGTCCTCCCCAGGCCATTCTTCCTGACATTTGTTAATGGAGTCTGGGACAGCCTTTAGAGGTTAATCTTTGAGAAGATCATTGGTGTTGAACACTGGCTTAGCTGGCAGGATTGAATTTTATTTAGAACCTAGTTTAAGCCAAGTGTATATAAATAATGATAATAATTATTCTTTCTCTGTATTAAGCACTTATTAAATACCAGTTATAATTGTATAATTGCTATGTTCCATTCTTGAAACAGCTCTGTAGTTTAAACATTTTGGCCCATTACAGATGAAGAAGAAGATTTGAGGCTAAGAAGGTCACTGGAGGTTACATACCAATAGATGACCAAGTTAAATTTGAACTTCTATCTTGTACATTTTCTATTTCACCCATATTTACAAGACAATGTTAGTACAGTTGTCCATGTTTGAAATGAGAGGGACAAATACATTGTGGACAGCTGCATTGTAGAAATGGTGACTTGTTTGCTGAATGTAGCCCAACCAGTCCCTGCTGTCTCTTACTGAGAAAGAGATTCAGAAGAATGAGTTGCTGCCACCATGGCATTGACGCTTGAACAGAGGGGTGATGGATGTGTCTTTACGTTCCAGGAAGATTTCCAACCGGAAGCAGCCTCAGAGACCAACTGGGAATCAGTCACAAGCTCTATCTCTGTAAGTAATTTATTATTCCATTGCCAGTGAGAAAAAACTGCTGGATGAGCTCAGGTCAACCTCAGAGGGACCTCAAATGCATTAAGAACCCTGTCTTGACTGCAAGCCAAATCTCAGGCATTTTGAGTTCCTCTGTTTCTTTCAGGAACACCCCATTTTTACATTTGCATTTTCAAGGGTGTTTGCAAGCTGGGAAAATCTTGTGTTTACAGGATGGTGACCTAAGTGAAAATCAGCCCTACAGTGCTCTGATTAGCATGTAACACATGTCCTACCCTTCAGCAGTAAAACGGCTCAAGTCTCATTTTATTTCCGCCAAATTCAGTCATTTCTTGGGATCCTTTCACCTTATCTGCTTTGCCTGCATAGAACAGACCTTGCCTTCACCAGCCCTGCATGTTGAACTTAATGTAGTAATAAAACAGAAGATAAAGTCAAGCTCTTCTCTGCCAGGTCAAAGCATGGCGAACAACTGTCTGGTCCTAATGTGTAGCCATGTGGCTGAATCAGTCTTACTGTTTTTAAGCCAAGGCTATTTTTTTCTCACTGGAGAAATGTTTTTAATTCTTTCTATGGCAGGGCTTCAACAAAGTCTGGATACTGTGCCTCTTGAGATCCTGCAGTGTAGCTGATCAGTTTATATTCACACCTTTTGCCTCAAGCCTCAGGGATCACTGAGGAAGAGGTAACAAGATTGTAAGGGCCAGAGGTAGTGAGCATATGCAGAAAAACAATGCTTTCCACACAGGCTGAGATGGCCACAAACATGACCTTACAGCATCTGTGATGCATACATAAGACAAGCACTACATGGAACCACAGAAAACTCCGGCATGGCTGAAGAGGCTCGTGAAGTCTCTGCCTCGCTGAGGAGCAATTGGTGGCTTCTGTGGGAGGGGGGGTCAGTTCTCGTCAGGAACGAGGCCCCTGAGGGGCCACCCCTACAATGCATTGTTCTACACCTGAGCATATACACGCAGCACTAAGTGGACTCAGTGAGTGTTTTGTTTTTCCTTTTTTCAGTTTCCATGAAATTGGGAAGAACACTGTTGAGGGAATAGGGAAGAAAATAGAAGAAAGAGGATGGGAAAGAAAGGATATGAAGATAAATTAGCATTCTAATTTAATATATTTCTAATTCTAATATATTTTGTTTTGTTAAAAGTAGCTTAAATATTATTTTTTAGGCAGTAGACATGCCTTTGTGGTGATTTTAATTCAATTTTAATTTAATATTCTAATGTATCCTTACAAATATATAGCAAAGACTCAATACGACCAAATGCATGGTGCAGCAGAAGGAAGCACATATAAAAGGCTCTTTAGGAAATTTTTAAAATATCCACTACAGAAACAAATACTCCTGTAGGTTTTTTTTTTGGCTTGCTTAATGCCACGTAATTGTGTACTAAGTTATCATCCTGTGTAAACCAACTGCCCTAAAAGGAACCCGGAAAACAACCACAAATCTCATACAGAGGGACAGTTTCAATTTGATGTGTGGTTTGAATTTCCTCTCCAGCTTAGTGTCAAAGGAGATTGTATCACCTCACGTAACCCCGACTCTGTTCCAGGGACTGAGCGACCCTTAAGAGTTGGTTCTTGTCGTAATGCCTGGGTACACAGTGACACTCCAGGCATTGCTGAGAGCCAACTGAGAAGACCTGCAGTCACTTTGTCCAGAGCTACAGCAAGAGGCTTTTACTTGAGTGGGAATGGTTTGGTTGATGTTCTTCCTTTCCTTCAAAGTTTTTAAATGCTGCCAATCTCTTAACTTTGGCCAACTCTTTCTGATTTGTGGAATATCATACTCACATAGTGATATAAGGCTAATTGTACAGTAAATATGAGCCACTGGGTATAAGACACTAATTATAAGTCATCCATACAGGTTGAGTGGAGACTTGTAATTACAGTACTGACTTATACGGGTCATATGCACATAGCATGTGAGTATTAAGAGAGTTGTAGAAGACAAAAGCATGTGTGTTCATCAGAGTACAGCTCATGTCACACACACACACACACACACACACACAATTTAAAGAACTAGCTTGCCAATAACTGAAGGAACAAGGGCTGGAGAGGTGGTTCAATAGTTAAGAGCAATTGTTGCTCTTGCAGAGGACCCAGATTTAGTTCCTGGTACCATTGAGATGGTTTACAACCATCCATAGCTCCAGTTCCAGAAAATATTACACTGTCTTTGACCTGTGTAAACACCAGGCATATATGTGGTACACATGTGTACATAGCTACAAGGCAAACACTCATACACATAAAACAAATAGATATAAAAAAACTTGTTTAAAGAAAATAAAGAACTGAAGAAACCAGTATGTCAGTACCTGGATGGAGTTGTATTATCGCCAGCAAGGTCAGTAGAGAGTGTATCTTTATCTCTGCTCAATGTTTTAACAAATCCCTCACAAGTCATACATGGCAAATGCCAAGGTCCCAGACAAACAATTGTTTGTACATATGCCCATGTGGCCTCACACACAGGTGGTGAAACGCCATGGTGGGGAAAGGATGGCAGCATCTGCTTCCATAGTCATCTACTCATCTTCTATCCCACCGCGCTCTCCCCGCTTCTCCTCAAAGGTGTAAATGGAAACGGCGTCTACATTACACCAACGGTAGATGACTTCATCAGACTCCATAATTTCACCAACTAGGGTGCAGCCCTTTGAAAGTGAGGGGTCTTGGGATAATTCACAGACCTATGAACTGTAAATGTTTGAAGAGGGGAGAATAACAGGAAAGTGAGAGCACTCGTTTGTGGCTCGGCAACATGTGTTGTTTCTACCTTAAAACTGCAGTTTGGGTTGAAGAAGGCAAGGGTTCATTAATTTCCACTTCTTTAGTAATAGGAAATATTTACCCATGGGGAGATCTTATTTGTTTGGTCGTTTCTTTACGGATGTTTAGATGATCATTTGAGGCTGTGTTCTCTCTATTTCCCTGTAAATGGGTCATGAATTTTCACAGAGATGTCTGACTCAGAGCTCGTTTCCCTTGAAATTGTACAAGGGTTAGTGGAGAACGTGCTTAGACATTTTACACAAGAATGTTTTATTTCCATGGCAAACTAAATAATCCTTTTCTGGCCTTCCAGTGGTACTGTGGTCCTCATTTCAATAATCTTCTGGCTAGTGGGATCACCGCTAAACCTTAGCAGTACTTTCATTTGTTCTTTTAATATGCTTCTCATGTGAACCTTGCACTCTCAAGTCAAGAGAGCCAGTTTCAGGGCTAATTATCCTTATTGACGGTAAATAAGTCGGTTAAAGTGCCAGATTTTATCAGAACGTCCCCAGAGTGGAGTCAAATTCAGCTCATACAGCATCTGCAATGAGCAGTAATATGAAAAGGGGAGCTGCAGAAGCTAAGCGTGGGAGAATAGACTGTATCATCAGAAATTGCTCGAAAAGAGATCAGAATTTTAATTTTCAGTTATTAGCTGATATGAGAAAGATTGGGGACTAGGAACCAAGAAATTAAATGTCAATATTTGTATGTCTACTTAGCCCGTATCTTTTGAAATTGTCAAAGTTCAGGGAAGCTTAAGGTTGCAGGATCTACTTGACTTTGACTTCCATAAAAATACGTGCTATGTTGTACATTAGAGTTGTACACTCTTCTTGTTTAGTAATATAACAATTCAGTGCCCTATTGCCGTGGCATGATATTTTCACGGTGTGTTTTTCTCTGAAACCCTCTGTGTTCCTTCTGTATGCTTGTATGATTGTTATATGTCACAGCAGCGGACCCTTTCTAAATACACTGAGCTGTATGTCACTCTTAGGAGGGGGCCCATCACGCCCCATCAGTAACGGACCCTACTCTCACTGCCGACGCCCTGGACAAAACCATTGCAGAATTCGATACTGTGGAAGATCTGCTTAAGCACTTCAATCCAGAGTCTTGGCAAGATGACCTGGAGAATTTGTATCTGGACACCCCTCATTCTAGAGGCAGGTCATACCATGACCGGAAGTCCAAAGGTAAGAAACAGAGCCTTGGTGTTCTTCAGTAGTGAGAATGCTCATAGTGAATAAGAACCTGTGTAATCTGTTTAATGCTTTCAAGTCTGCTGAGTGCTGTCATTCCATCACGTATTGAAGACACGTGACATCAAACTCTGACCTCCACGCACACGTTCATATATGTCAGCATGCACAGATGTACATGCACAAAACCACACATACCTATAAGCAGCACACCACAGAAATATAGAATAAAATACATAGGCTAGCTTCCTATTCCTCAGCAGGTAAATCCTGATTTTACAGTGGAAGAAACCAAAGTCGGGAACCGTGCATGGGTCGCGTGCTGGAGTCTGTCTGGCTAGGTGAGAGTGGAGCCGACATGAGCTTCCTGGTCTCTGGTTTATACCAGTATTGTCTATGTGATCAACTGCTGTCATTTTTCTGGCAGCTGTCAGCGCTGGCTTTGTGGAGGATTGGCAGCGTGGGGCCAGAGGGCTGCTGTGAACAGCCAGTGCTCCTCTGTGGGCCAGCTCAGTTCTATCTATCCAGTGCTGGTTTGTTTAACATACACTGCATGTTCGTCATATCCTCCATTCCCCTCCCCCTGCTTCTCATACTTCCCCCACCTACTGGTTCTCTTTGTCCCTCTGACAGTTGCTTCTATTGTCATGTTTTCTGTTTCTATCATCTTAAGTGTCTATATGAGATCTAGAAGCCAGAAATGAAAAAAAAAAATGTGAAACTTGCTTTATGAAATTTACTTGATTAACTTAATATGATTACCTGTAGTCACATCCATTTTTCTGCAACTGACAATGTTTAATCTTACTAATGTAGTTACTTACTGAAAAGTTACTAAGTACTAAGCACTAAGTAACTTACAGGCTTAAGAGGTTAGTGTTCCAAAACAGGATAAGTGACAATATAGTGTGAAGGCATATCTGAGCACATTGTATTGTAAACATTGCAGAAAAACAACAATGAGGGGCAAAGAGAAAGGAATGTTTGGACATAACATTGGAGTAGAAATAACTCCACCACTTTAAAAACTAAAAATCAGTTACATGATACATGCATCATGCGTAGATATTTACCTTCGCTTACCAAATCTTAGAGAAAGAACGGTGTAATTCCAGTACAGAAATAACATGGCTACTTCCAGTCAAATTACTAGTACACGCTTGCTTTATTTGATAAGATCTGGTTGTTAAGTTTTGCTAGCAAGTCTCATAGGGTGTGTCACAGAGCTGGAAAGGTGTTCAGCCAAGAAACGGCCTGTTTCTCACTGTATGATGTCAAGGGTGTTTTCAGGCTCTGTGCCTAGGCTTCTCCCACACAACTCATGAGAATGCTGAGCCCAGATGACTAATTACTAAACTTCTGTCAGGGCTTTCTGCTCCCGGCTTAGGTCATAAATCTTACATACTTAGCACACACCACGGAGGAAGGACAAAAGAGCTGCAGGCACCCTGCTGTTGCCAAGATGTGCCATGTGTACATCTGTATAACTGGAAAGGAATGTCCTCAGGGCTCAGACTGGGTTCATTTCAAAGATGATATTGGTTTTATTTAAGGCATTGCTATGTTTCGGTCTCCAATAGGTTAACCTGGATACAAGTATAATAGACTCGGGTCATGAAAACCCCAGCATAAAACATGGCATCAGACACAGAATCAGGGACTTCAGACTCTGCATGCTCTCAGTACCAGCAGCTACAGAAAGGCCGTACTTCTTGGTGCCTCTCCCCTGGAAATACGAAAACTTAAAAAAAAAAAAAAAACTGAGTCCTATTTTTTTTTTTTTCCTGAAAATTATGTTGCATCAGAGACAGGAGATCTGAATTCAAATCCTAAGCTTATGGAGTTCTGTGATTTTTTTTTCTTAAATTGTTGCCCTTTCTGTGTCTCTGGTTTCTATTGGTAAGGTATATACCGGCTGCTTGTGTGGACTATTCAGGGGGCCCTTGTGAGCCCCAACCATTTGGTGCTTCTTCAAGAATGTTTAACTAGCTCTAACCAGCTTCCAGTTTTGAAATATATGTTATATGTTTGATGTGTCCACAATGAACCTATCTTGTCTCTCATCCTGTCCCTGATGTGCCCAGCATTAGGAGTACTTCAGATAAATCAACAGCAAACACAAAGAAAAATTTGTGCTTCTTTAATGGGAGTAAGCAATCCCAGAACTTGTATGGATCCTACTTTAGCTGAATCAATAATTTTACGGGGTGCATTATGAAATGCAGCTGCAGAGCCCTGCCTTAGAAACATTGACTCAGGATCTTCAGAGGAGGACGCTGGAGCACTGAAGATGTCTATTGACTCTTCAAGGTGTCCTGAAAGCCACAAGGAAGAGAGCAGAGCATTCGCCCCGTGCGTCTAACATGCGTTGTATACCTTTGGATATTAAATGAATGTTTGAAGTGCTGAGGATTGAACTGAGGGCCTTGGGCACAGCTAACAAGTGTTCTGACCTTGAGCTGTCCCCTCCCGGCTCAGCCCAGCATATTTCTCAAATCTGTAAAAATCTGCCCTGTAGACAGAAGTGTCACTTTGTTACGAATGCCTTTGGTTACAGACATAACTAACCTTGACAGAGCATTCAAGGCAATGTTCTTACTTGATGTTTGTGACAAAGTAAACACCATTTCTCTCCCCTGTTGGCTTAGGTTCCATTTTCTAGTCTCATGTAAGAAACAGCCCTCAAGGCAGACTCCTCTCATACCTTTCATTTAACCCTGCCAAGTCACCTCTGTCTCGTACTGAATAAATGTGTTACTCTAATTGTTTGTTATCCCATGGAGGGAGGCTGAGGCACCTGCATGGATCACAGACAAAGGGGAAGTTGGGTTTGATTTTTAGCTGCGATTTTCAGAAGCCTTTAGGACTTAAAAAGACAAACGGTTAGGGGCACACCCTAAAATTTGAGGAGGGGAGCAATGAATAAGGAGTAAACACCGAAAAGCAGATGTGGCATGGTGACCCCCTTTCTTTGGTACCATAAAATATGTTAATGATATTCTACAGGAAATAACTAGGCTTTCATTTTGTCTCAAGGTAGTAGGGGTTACAGTTGGGCCTTGTGAATACTAGGCAAGTACTCCCCCTGAGTTACCTTGCCCAGCGCCCTTTTTACTTTTTATTATGAAACAGGAGTTCACAAAACTCCCTAGGCTAGCCTTGGTGTCACTTTATAGCCCAGGAAAGCCTTGAAATTACAATCCAATCCTCCTTTCTCAGTGCCTCTGATACCTGGGAAATAGGAAAGTGCAATCACTGTCAGCAAGTTTCATTTACTAAGGCATGGAGCATCTTCTCTTCTAGTTTTCACAGAGATCAGAAGTCGCATTCTTCATGGTTCTAAGGAGAACAAGTCTAGGAAAGCGGAACATGAATTCCAAAAAAATAATAACGAAGTAGTAGAGTATAACAAGCTATAGCCTCTGAAACAAAACTCACATAGTAAATCAGAACCCACCCTGCATGTGGATATGTGTGAATGTGTGAGAGAGACTGTGTATGAGAGAGGAAAAGGGTGTACATGCATATCTGTGTGTGTGTGTGTGTGTGTGTGCACATGCATGTCTGTGCATGTGTGTCTGTGACAGTGTGTGTGCATGTGGGGAGGAAGGAGAGAGAGAGAAAGAGAGAGAGTGTGTGTGTAAGATAGAACCACCTTCTGTAGCCCAGGGGGGCCTAAAACTCACAGTATTCTTCCTGCTCAGACTCCTCAGTTCTGAGATCACCGTTGCGGGCCCCCACACCTGACCCAAAAAAAGCATTTTGAAATCCAATGTCATTATTTACTTCTACTTTCTCTGGTGGGAAGGAGAGTGGGTGAAATGTGGTTCTTTTGTCCAGAAAATAGCTCAAAATGAGTGAGAGGAAATCTGGGACAGATAGCTATGTTTGAGCCAGGAGTTCCGCAGAGAAGGCCTGCTACTCTCCAGTTCTCAGGTGGGTGAGCTCAAGCGCTGGCTGTACAAGCTTCAGGACGGTAGAGAATACACCACGAAGCTAATAGAGCCAACTTTTAGCCTTCCAGAGGAAGACAGGAGGAGTAGCATCTCAGGTTGGATTCTGTAGGTACCTATAGCTCCAAAACCCAAAATTTTGGTCAATAATATCAGTCTTACACATTCACCATCACAAATGCTCAAAAGGTCTTCTCTAATTCAAGTTTCTTATACTTTTTCTCATAGCTCTGAGTAAAGAGAAAATTGGGTAAACTGTGTGGGTGTTCTTGCTAGCAGCTGCCTACAGCCTCATAGCTTGCTGCATGAGCACTGTGGTTTAACAAGCTATGATTCAGTTAAATGAAAGGCCTGTGAACTTAGGTGCAATATATTTCTTTAGGCTCAAAATAAAATCACACATTTCCACATTAAAAGTATTCAGCCCTAGGCTCTGCTGAACTGGACGTTAAGTGAGGGGTTATATGTGTAGATTAACAGCACAAATGAGGCCTAACTCCTTGCTTCTTAAAGGAAATTTTTTTTTTCCTGAATGGCAACATGTCATAGCAGTGTCCAGCACATAGTGGCAAAGGTCCACAGTGAAAGTGCTGTGATGAATTTTTTAATTCTTTTATCATCATTTATTACAATTTATTCACTTTGTATCCCGGTGTAGCTCATCTCCCACTCTACCTCCCTCTTCCGCCTTTGTCCTTCCCCAGAAAGTAGGGGAAGTCCTCTACTGGGGACTGACCCTATCTGACCCTAACCTATCAGGTCTCATCAGGACTGTCTGGATCCTCTTTCTCTGTGGTCTACTTAGGCCACCTCACCACAGGGAGGTGATCAAAGAGCCAGCCACTCTGTCCATGTCAGAGACAGCCCCTGTTCCCCTTATTAGGGAACCCACATGGTGACTGAGCTGCCATGGGCTACATCTGAACAGGGGGTCTAGGTCTTCTCCATGCATGGTCCTTGGTTGATTAATGGGTCTCTGCAGGACCTCCTGAGCCCAGAATTTTTGGCTCTGTTAGTCTCCTTGAGCTCCTGTCCCCTCCA